ATTTTTACCTAATATGTCTGTGTGTTTTGTTCATACATTGTTATCAATATAATATAACTTTATGCGACTGTCATTCAAGTGAGAGGTTAAGCTAGCTATAAGACCAGGTTGAATCCAACATTTTCTACATCAGAAAATGCCTGTACCAAGTCAGGAAAATGACAGTTGTTGTCCATTCGTTTGATGTGTTTGAGCTTTTGATTTTGCCATTTAATAAGGACTTTCCACTTTGAATTTTCCCCGGAGTTCAGTATTTTCGTAACTTTACTTTTTATGTGAAAGCGAAAGTGAAGTACCCTTGTTGAAGAAAATAGAAACTGATAGAAGGTTTTGCTCGCAACTTTTTAAAATTTAATATTTAATGAGAAATAAGTACTATCGGTTTACAATCTATAACTTACCCCATACGAAATCAAAACACAATATAAAGTTGATTGGAAGTTTTCCATAAGGAAGTAAAAAATCTTCAATATCTTTATAAATATATTGTATAGATTAAATCACTTCTGACATGTATATCATATAACAGTATTAACAATAGTATCTGGACGTGGATTTTAAATAAGCATAATAATTATCTACTTGTTTAAGGCAAGGTGTACATAAAAAACTACAGGTTTTTAAAAATATAAAAAGTGCTTGTACAAATACATTAAACAAAAAAATAAATATTTTTTAGATTCGAGCTACTGAAATTTATAGGACAAAGAGTAAAAAAAATCATAAAAATCGATAGGTATTTTCTGATTTATTAGTCCACAGAATTAGAAAAGAAACTAACATGAATGAAAACTATATTTGATTGGTAAAGATAGATTCCTTAGCAAACTTGCTTGGTTTCAATCTTTATCCTGTGAAATATTGAATTTCAAAGGAAATTGTTGAATTTTGCAGCGGCGTTATTGGTGTCACTGCGATCTTTAGATCAAAGAAATAGTCGTCTAATATGTACTATTGCCGAATGTGTGGATTCGCATGGCGGGTGATGCATGCATAGCTTTAATTATCAAAGCACTCAATATAGCTCCTTTTTGAGTCATGCAATTTCCTCAGTTTTTGTTTGGTATCATTATTTGTCTTCTTCATATATTTATGAGATTTGAACATCGGTAAACTACTTCCTTAGTTTATCACCAATGAAAGCCGGGCGTCATAATAAATGAGATACTATCTACTCTTGGGGCGGTGTAAATTAGATGTTAATAGTTAAAAAAATCAATAGATCTGTTTTAGTGCATTCAACCTCAGTCTCTGTCCTATTTTGTACCCATAACACTAGTATGTTATTCTTTCTTAAAGACAAATAGAAAGAATTAGTCCGTCATTGTTTCATAAAGATGAATGGCCTCTTGTTTAAGTAGGAAGGTGAGACAAATCATACTATGTTAAAAAACACACTCTTATTAAAACACAATATTGTCTAAAACTGACATCACCAAGATGCTTAATTTTTCGATTGATTACATATGTGTAACGTTTGCAAGGCGTGTTTTTCTATTAACAATCAACATTCCTTTCGGAAACAACTGTATTACTATTTTTGAGGAGCTGTTCCTTGATTCGCATGAGGCAGACTGAAAAGTCGTTTAACTTCACGTTTCGCTACATTGAGGATTTCAAAATTATTCAACGTTTGGTGACTATGTTGACAACTAGATCCCATCGATTTCGAAAAAAGGATACCAAAGATGCAAATAAGTCTGACTCATATATTGACTTACATCTAACTTGACAATGAGGGTGAATTGAGAGAAAAAATGACACAACTGTCATTGATCAAAGCACTTTTTGACTTTATATTTTTTTCATATAACCTTCCAGCTGTTTTCATTGAGACTCAGCACGCATATGACGTACTAAAACATGAACTCTGTATCTTGACGAGTTTTTACCACTTGGACGTTTTTACTGCTAGTAGAAAATTGCAAGACCTTACAGAATAAACGAAAACAAAACGTTGACTCTAATATTGGTGTGTTTGGAAAATTACTTTAAAGTTCTAATACACGAAACATAGTTGACCTCTTGCTCATAGTACATGTATCTGAGATACAGACATCACCACTAAAACCGACCCTCATTGTAAGTTCGATGGGATAGATGTGTTCAACATAGTCACCAAATTCTAAATTATTCCGTGAGAGAAAATCAATTATATAGCGGAAAGTGAAGTTGAAGGATACTGCTAAATTGTTATTTTTCTTTCTAAGATTCTAAGAAGTTTCTGTATGAAGTCAGCCTCATGTGTATATAGGAACAAGTCGGCAAGAAGAGGAGTACACTTGGTTCCCATGGGAATGCCGATTGTTTGTTGAAAAAAAACACTCCTCTAAACGTAACAAATACGTTGTCAATAAAAAAAGCAAGCATCTTAATAATGTCAGTTTCAGAGAAGTTTTGTTAGAATCTTTTTGATGATTCTTTTTACCAATTACGATTTACTCCTCCTTAAGACAAGATACTTGCATCTACGATGGCCATTTTTCATAATACAAAGCAGGACTAAATCTTTCAATTTAGTGTGGAATGGGGGAATACTTGTGTTAGTAATAGTAAAAGTTCAATGATTAAGTTAATATTGATATTAAAAGACCTCCGAACAAAAAGGGATGTTCAGATTTGAACAGCCCTTTTTGTTAGGAGGTCTTTTAATGTCAATATTAACTTAATCATTGAACTTTTACTGACTTACAAACCGTCAAAAACATAAGAAAAGTACACAAAAAGCACTCGCAGAAACCTAATTCCCCTGAATTGGACGAGTCTAAATATGTTTACCTTAAATGATAGTTAAACAGTACTCAGACTGATATATACAATTAACAGTTACCAAATTGCAACGGAAACGGACCGATTAAATGGCAGCACATCATTCAATTATTCATTTATTATATTTTGTTTAGCATTAAAATAACACCAAATGATAGTTTTACAAAATTAGGGGGTAAATTTATATTTTTGATCCAATTTTTCAAAATAAATATTTCTTATTTAAAGCAATATAAGCCGTCAAAATCGCGATTTTTTAAAATGCTATAAAAGAGGTGAAATTAAAAATGATTAATGAATTAAAAGGTTTACACAAACTTTCACGTCCTAAAAATCCTTAATGTTACTGTTAAAGTTGAAAATATATTCCTCATCATTCCGTTTGACCAGTGCAAATGGCAGCTCATTAATTTTCGACACCAATTCCGAAGATTGCCGATGCTGATAAGAATGCGTGTGCTGCTGATCTGGGTCAACAAAAATGGACGAAGAGGTAAGATGTTGCATGTTAATCTTCGTAGTTATTCATTAGTATTGCATTGCAGACGATTGTGTTTATATTTTTAAGTTACGATTAAAGTGATTTATTCTTATATTTCAATTAGAACTAATTTATTGTCTCACGTGCAAAGAAAATAACCGAATATTGATAGAATACCCAGTTGGGGGTCCAATTGGGGAATCGTCGAAAGTGTGCGTGTTTTGTTTACAAAATTATTCAAGTCAAGTTTTTCGATGCACCAGTATACTATAATATACAGACATTTGTTTCACGTACAAACGAGGTTTTTCAGTGAATGAATAAGAAATGGAAACGACAAATCATAAATTTGCTGGGATATCAAAAGTTGGTATATATCTTCGCATGAATACCTCGGAAGAGTAACGATGTATTTGATGCAAAGGAAGAAATAAACAAATATACGTATTTGCAATATAACAAGGACAATATATTACTAAACTTGAATATCAAAGTGACGATAATCCTTTCTTTCAGTGTTCACAACTTTTGTACATTATTTGGCCTTTGGACAACATCAATGATCATCAATGTCAGATCAAAAGATCGATGTGGAATAAAAAAAAAAAAACATAGATCGTAGGGGTAATAGGTACCGCAAGATTTATTTTCAATCATTGATTTCTTTGTTGTAAAAAAGAACCCAGGCAGCTATTTCAATTCTAGATGCACGATATTTTTTCTTAGTTATTGGCGTTGAGCTACCAGTATAAACTGCTAGTTCTCTATAAATATAAATGTATTCTATTGAACCGTCAGTATTGGGTTTTTTTTGGGGGGGGGGGGGATATACAAGTAAACTGCCACGTCCATTCTATATTTTTGTTAGATGTATTTCTTTTGACTTGAATCGATCTGACGAGTTAACCCCTTTTCAACTGATTTGTATAGTTGATTTTACACTACTGTTCCAGTGTGATGGGGAAAAAAAGGGGGCGGGGGTTCAAACTAGTTCAACCACGCCACATTCTGTATGTGTCTGTGGCCAGTCATGCAGGAGCCTATAATTCAGTGGTTGTTGTTTGTTGCTGTATAACATAAAACAGGCAGTTAGTTTTCCCTTTAGATTTGTGTTGCAATTGTCATTTCAAGGTCTTTTATAGCCAACTATGCGGTATAGGTTTTACATTGTTGAAGGCCGTACGGTGACCTATGGTTGGTTATTTCTGCAGGTGTTTTCATTGTCTCTTGTGGAGAGTCGTCTCATAAGGTTTTTACACTTCATACAGTGCCGTAGCTATATTGATAGTCTTGTGATAACAAAATATATGTCAATCATAGAAAATTATATATTTGAGAAATTTCTAACTGACCACTTTTCATTCCTTAGATTTCAGATACCAGAAACAGGTCTACCACACCTGAAGTTCTTTCTTCAGATGGAGAAAGACCCATTCGTGGTAGGGGTAATAGGAGACGGACAGTGCGGGGTAGAAATAGGGTGAGAGGTAGCAGAGGCAGAGGCAGAAGAGGCCATAACAGAGCCTTACAAGGACAGCCAGAACCACTTAATAGGGCCGAAGTAGCGGCACAGGCCAGAGTAGAAAGAGATCGTCAGATGCAGGTAAACTATCCAACATTTACAAATCGACAAACTTTAATTGTTTCATACCAGTTTCATTATTTTCTTCATTCAATGCAACAGTTTACTGAAAGAAGTGCTGTGTGATTTGCCTTGAAATGTAAAAGTACTTTATTTTTCAGGAACGGATTGATGGCCTATCTGAAGATCAGATGAAATTTGCCATGATGGCCACGTACAGGGAACAGCCTAGTTTTCTGTTCAGAGTACTGGAAGCAGTAAACCAACAGTTTACTGCAAGTGAAACTACACCAGAGCCAGAACCAACTCCAACACCAACACCTTCAGGAGATGTCCCAACTTGGTGCCGGTGCAACAATTGCAGGGAAATGCCCAGTGAGGTTGAAAAAAGATGTTGCAATCAAATACTTCAAAACTGCCACTCTATACTACATGTAAGTACTATTCTTTGTTAACTCATATATGAGTTGGCATGACTGTTGTCTCATCTTATATAACTCTTTATATTTTGATGTTTAACCAGAGACTTACTTAGAATTCTCATTCTATTCAGTTGATTATTTAAATGGTAGCGTCCTTTAAGTATGGTTTTGTAATCCAAGTGAATGAGAACAGTAAACAAATGTACATGAGAAGTTAAAAAGATTTGGTTGCTTCAAGTCATTTTGCCAGAAAAAAGAAACCACCTTTGATACACAAAAAAATAATCATGGTTGTTACATTGAATGATATGGTTCAATGTTAACTTCAAACTATAAACTATAAATCAGACATTGCATGGTTTAAACACCTTCTTAAAACCTAAAAAGTAGATACAACATTGACAACCCTCCGCATCAAAGAGCTGTATTGAAAAAAAAATCATGGTCTGTTTACAATTTCCACTTATTCATTTATTATTTCAATTTCAGGATTTTCACAATGTTGTATTGGACCCTTTGGTTCTTGAGGTTGCAATGAGATACCGGAATGATATGATTGCTCAGCCTCCAGACCAAGACTACAATAGATGCCACAGACACACAGCATACCGCCAATATGTTCTGTGGATCCATGGATATCTTGGAGCTGGGAACAGACAAGTAATTCCAAGTTGCTGTGTTTGGGCTATAAGGAACAGATTCCCAGACCCATCTGGCCAATATGTTGGATTTATTGGAGGACGTTTTGGTTGAGAAGGAATAAATTTTATTTCAATTTTATTTGTATTTTCATTAACAGTTAGTTGGTTGGCCAATCGTAGTCTATTGTCTGGTCAAGATCGTAGTCTATGGTCTTGTCCAGATCTTCCCTGTTAAATCTCGAAATTTTGGCAGCCATCAATTCTTGAGTAGGGGGAGGTGGAACAGGGGCAATGGTTGCTGACAATCGTCTTGGGTCCAATGGATCTAAAATCACTCTCCTGCTCATCCCGATATCATCGGACAGCCTTTTCATTATTATATGCTTCATTAATTCTGGAATGTAGATATATTGTTTTGGTGTCAAAACACGAGAAAGTAACAGGTTTCTCTAGGATTAAATGGTTTGCTTCTGTCCCTTGATTTATTTTTTATTGAGTATTAATCACAAAATTACGATTAAGATACTAATAACAATGAAATGTAAGTATAAACAAGACCACGAGCAAACTTACCTATCCAGCAAAATCTTCGCCACTTCAGCGTGTGATTGCAAACGAAGAGCACATTTTAGCTCACTCCAGCGATCATACTGGGCACCAAGATATATTCTATTCTTATTAAATTTTGCATTTACTGCTGTACGTCGTCGTTTTCTAGCTGAATCGGTCAATGTTGGCTTTCTCCCTCGCTTCAAAACATTGGTGTCAGACATTCCACGTGCGCCGGAGATATTACGCATGCGCAATGGAATTAAAGAAAGAGGTCATCTAAGAGGTCATTGCATACTGACTTTACAATCAAAATTATATATGTCGGGAAGACAAACAACTCAAGTCGAACATTTTCGCTTAAAACTTCAAAAAGAAGATATTTTAAATCGTAAAACGAGTAAAATTACGTTTTTAAACACACATTTAATCAGATTCTCGTTTAAAATTCATGAACAAAAAAAATTGTGATTTTAAAGCTTATATTGCTTTAATAAATGAGGCATTCAAAACCCTTTACATACCTCATTTATAACTGACCAATGAATACTCTGCACAACAACTTCTTGTTATATATATATATATATATATATATATATATATATGATGTTTTTAATCTGTCAGTAATCATGAAACAGACCAGACCTAAGAAAACAGTAAGTAAATTCTTCCATCAATTAGCTTTTTAAACAGTTTGTTTCAGAACTTTTAATCGAACAGACCTAAATGCATAAGGTCCTTCACAATATTAATCCAGTAAATGTTCATTCTTTTTTGATTCTGTAATTTTCCTACACTACGTTACATGCGAATGCAAAATAAGTAGTGTTTTCTGTTCAGTCCAATTAATTACTAGATCTTGCTTTGGTTTTTTTTTAAATAAAAACTATGCATGCAAACTTCAATGAATAAAATCGTATTAAAAAGCATAAATGTTACATCTATAGCATCAACTAGGTTTCACTGACCCGATCAAAACGTGTTTAGGTGACATATATTCGTAGATTCGATGTATTATATGAAAACAAACTCTTTTATTTTAGTCGTCCGTTATTCCCATTTTATGTCCAACTGAAGCAAAACACCTGAAAAAAAACTTTTATCTTTCTTAGTTTTATCCTTTCCTGACAAACCATCATGTTATAAATCGTATTAAAACAGTAGATAAGAACCATAGTAAAAAAATATTAAAACGTTTTTATAAGCAGTCACTTATGTATTAAATTGAAGGAAAAAAAAACACATAAAAAAAAAACATAAAAATTTAAAAGAAATAGTACCTCATAGCAATTTACAAGATCTTGTCTTTGAGTGCTAAGTACATGGAACAATTTATGAAGTTGATTGATTGATGTTTGCTTTACGTCCAGTGGCAAATATTTCATGCATGTTCATGACTATAACACATAAAGTCTTTCAATACAATACCCAATAGGTAGGTCGTGCAATAGGAGGTCGACAGTGAGGTTGGACGTGAAACTTTAAAATACCACTGGAAAATGAGGGTATATTGAATTAGGACAGAAATTTAGACTTGCAACAGCTGGCCACATTCGGACCACCCAAATAATTTGTGCAAGAGTTTTTACGTGTAGTTTACAATATCATTTCACGCATTTAATTTAGGTTAGATACTTTAGTAACTAGGAGAAGTCTGTGAAACTGTATTGTTTATTGTACTTGAGGTTTTGGTATATTATGTACTACCGCTCTACTGGTTGGTCTCATGTGAAGGTGTTCCCCTCGAGAGCGGGAGGTCGTTTGTTCGAATCCCGACCGGGCCAAACAAAGACGTTAAATTAGTATTGGCTATTACTTGGCGCTTAAAACGTGACATCATAGAGTAGGAGCACAGACTGGTCGGCTCAGAGTCGGAAATGTGTCCGGGTCGGGTGACATTTTTTCCTGCGAACTAATATCTTAGGAACTTACGTATAAAAACACCGACTCAGCGTGTCAGTCTAGTAAAAAGCGGGGTTAATATTCGTATTGTATTTACATGTAATCGTCCTGAATATTCTTTTTATTTGCCGCTGGTCGTCATCCATTATCATCATTTATTTCACCGTTTTATTATACAGTGAAGTGTTTTTCTTCTACTGGTTTATATTACAACTTCTTAAATTTTCACCGATCAAAATTAAAATAGGGCAGGTGAAATTTTTCAACCAGAGACTAGTGATTGTTGGGAGATCTTTGACGGTAAATAGTATTAAATCAAATGTGATTTTTGGGATATATAATATTTGACTGATTATTTTTCTGTATACGGATCTTTCTATAAAAAAAAGACTGAAAGTTGACTATAAATATTTTGATATGTCTGTGTATTTGTGTTGCTCTCGCATTAATGTACAGTATATCTTTATCACCTTTTATTCAAAATCAAATGATTCACTTTGGTATAGAAATATTGACATCTCGAGACCTCTCCCGTCACACAGTATGCACTTACTAAATGGGTGCGTTCGTTTGGCTTATCAGATATATAAATACGCAGTTTTGTCCCATCGAAATAGGAATGTATATCAGATTCCTGGTGTAGTGAGAATTTCACGCTATCCATACGTTAAATAAACATTAGGGGGGAAAACGATCTATGCACGAGTTGAATGATCAAAATGTGTAATATCAACAAGAAAGGTCAGATAAATCTTTTCAAGTTAGTCGCATGGCTGATTTTAACACATGTTTTGCGAATTTTGCTAGGACAATTGTAGATGAAAAAAAAATTATAACGAAACCGATTAGCAAAACAATATCTAAAAAATAAATAAATGAAACGGCCAAAATAATTGAATCCTTGAAAAATTGTTGTCAACATTTTTTTTTATCCATTTTTGCTTTTATGGCAACTATTATATCAGTCTAAGATATAAATAAACTTGAAACAGCAAATGGTGATACGTAGACGAGACAGTCGTCATTGTTCGCTTCAATATAAGAGTTATTGGCACTCAATGAAGATCGTTTTTCTGTTCTTATCTCCTCTCCTATTAGTTTTGCTAAAGGATACAATGTAACCCCTGATGTGTACCACGACAACGTTTTTGTAATGTTAAATAAAAAGATTAAATGCAAAGAAAAAAATGATGAAAGAAAGATTTACTATTAAAAATTCATACTTAAATAAAAATGAAATATAAAAATTAGAAAACTGTTTGAGACGATTATTTATTGATTTATTGATTGTTGGTTGCTTAACGTCCAGTGGCAAATATTTCATGAATGTTCAGGACGAAAACAAGTTAACAATAAATACAATAGGTAGGTTTTGTAATAATAGAGGCCATCTGGGATGATGGTCGGGGAAATTTGGACTGCCACTGGACAATGAGGATATATTGGATAGGGACAGAAATTTTGCCTTGCAACAGGCCACCAACGGACCCCTCAAAGAGTTGTTGCAAGGGTTCTTAACGTGCAAAGAGCGTGGCACTTTCTGTACACGAGGTATCGGATTTAACGTCCACAATCTGACCGGACGTGGCTGCAAACTTGATACATCCCGCACAGCCAAACGGACGCCCCACTTTGGCAAGCGTTTTACTGCCGGTCGGAAAAGAACCAAGTGACCATATTTGTATTCCCCACAAGGGTGACGATTACTTACTGAAACCAAATGATTATACGTCACTAAATGAAGCTGATTAATTAATTGCTCCTTTTATGTCCAGTGGCAAATATGTCATGCATATTTACGACGAGATGCAAAGTGGATCAACCTGAGGCAAATGATTACAATTTTAAAGTGGCACTTTTTACAATAAGGCAGAGCGTTCGCTAGAAGTAAAACGTATGCCGTAATAGAACACAGTTGAATCATGATCGAAGTCGTAAGCTAAGCTATTAGCCCTCCTGGGGGCCTCGGTGGCCGAGTGGTCTAAGTAGTTACTACTGTAATCACTAGCCAGTCAACACTGAGGTTGTGAGTTCGAACCCCGCTCGTGCGGGTGCACTCGACTCCAATCTTAATTGACTAGGATTGTCAGTTTTCCTATCGAAGGTCGTTGGTTTTCTCCGGGCACTCCGGCTTCCTCCACCAATAAAAACTGGCCGCCACGAAATAGCCCAAAAGAGGTGCTTAAAAGTGGCGTTAAAACACCAAAAATCAAAATCAAATTAGCCGTCCTTCCCTCTTTTTTCTCCACGGTAGACGAATGCCAAAAACAGAACGTCATGAATTTACAAACAATAACGGCCACTATACGTAAATGAGATATGGACTTTTTTATTTAAATAAATTCCTATTGCAGCCAACATCTCTCGGTTCGGGACAGGTTAGTATTTCCACCGATTGGTTATTGAACTGAGATATTAAAGCAACCAAAAGCACTTTGAATCAAAAATTTTCTAAAATTGTAAATTATGATATTTTGCTGGGTGTTATTTCCCAAACCTATTTCGGACCCCTTGATTTTAAGAGGGCGTATCTAATTAGTCATGCCCGATTAACTTTTAGTAAATTGAACCTCAACTTAAAGACCTACACCGGGTATTTAAGTTCGAGGTACAATAAGTAGACAATAGAAATCCTTTATGAAATGAGATCGTCCCAGGTATCTTAGATAATTTTTTTGCGTTGAATAA